GCATGCCTGTAGTCCCAGCTACTCGGGAGGCTGAGGCAGAAGGATTGCTTGAGCCCAGGAGTTTGAGGTTGCTGTGAGCCAGGCTGACGCCACGTCACTCACTCTAGCCCGGGCAACAAAAAAAGCGAGACTCTGTCTCAAAAAAAAAAAAAGAAACTGCCACAACCACCACAACTTTCAGCAACTACCACCCTGATAAGTCAGCAGCTGTCAACTTCAACGCAAGACAGCAAAAAAGATTATGACTCAGATGATTGTTAGCATTTTTAGCAATAAAAGTATTTTTTAAATTAAGGTATGTATTACATATTGTTTTTTCAGACGTAATGCTATTGCACGCTTAATAGGCTACACTATAGTATAAATATAACTTTTATATGCACTGGGAAACGAAAAAATTATGTGACTTGCTTTCTTGCGATATTTGTGGTGGTCTGGAACCAAACCTGGGGTATCTATCTCCAAGATATGCCTGTATGGGAAAACATGTAATACAATTAGCTCTCTGTATCCATGGGTTCTACTTCTGTGGATTAAATCAACTACAGATTGCAAATATTCAGGAAAAAAAATGGTGCTGTGTTGAACAGGTGCGGACTTTTTTCCTTGTCATTACAGGATAGCAATGCAGGTTAACAACTATTTAAATAGTATACATTGTTTCAGGTACTGTAAGTAATCTAGAGATGACTTAAAATATATGGGAGGATGTGCATAGGTTATATGGAAGTACTACTATTTCATATAAGGGACTTGGGCATCTTTGGATTTTGTTATCCTCAGGAGGTCCTGGAACCAACCCCTACCCCCTCAACCAAGGATACCAAGGGACAAGTGGATATATAGGATTCAGTACCATGGTTTCAGGCATCCACTGAGGGTCTTGTAATGTATCCCCTGCAAATAAGGAGGGACTACTGTATAGTCTTTAAGAAAGAAGTGTGTTAGTATTGTTAATCCACACCTATACACTTTAAAGTTGATCCATATGATATTGTCATATTTCTCAGGGCACACTTTAGACTTTGTATAACACAAACCTACTAGAATGTAAGCTTTGTGACATCAGGAATCTTGTTGGTCTTGTTTATCACTCTATCCCCAGAACATAAGAGAGTACTCAGTAAATAATCATTAAATGAATCAATAATTTTTTGTGTGTGTAGCTCATTTTTGAAAATTTACATAAAAATGTTTCAAATATACTCAACAGTTTTTCCTTGCAGTGTTGAAACAAGGTATATTGTAGTCTAATGTGTAAGCCTATGTGTACTATTCTTGGTAAATTTTTTGCTAGTGTAATTTGTTATACCTGATTGGAGTATATTTTATCTTTTTTTAGACACATGCCTGGACATACAAGTAGAGAAGTCTTAATCATCTTCAGCAGCCTTACAACTTGTGATCCATCTAATATTTATGATCTAATCAAGGTAGACCCAATAAATCAAGACCAAAGTTACAACTCTATTGTCTTTTTGTTTTATTTTATTATGTAGTAGTTCTGTCACTTGGCAGAGTTACAACTGTAAAGAGAATTCTGTAGTGAATTCATCACTAGTTTTCAGAGCATTCTTTATTTTTCAAATATATTAATTCTTAAATGTTTTTCTTCTTTCCCGGAAACGGATCATTTACTTGGACTTTATGAAGACCCTAAAGGCAGCTAAAATTAGAGTGTCTGTTATTGGATTGTCTGCGGAGGTTCGAGTTTGCACTGTACTTGCTCGTGAAACTGGTGGTATATATCTAGTATCTTCAATATTTATTCATAATAACTGTATAAGAAATAATTTATTAGGATGTTTTAATCTGTTTTAAGCTACTGAACTTAAGTCAGTGCATATCTGGTAGTCCAAAATATGGATAATCATCTTAAATATATCATTAATTCTATAAAAAATTATCTTAAAATGCAAGGAATTTTCAGTAGTTATGTGGTTTCGTTTTTTTTTTTTCTCCCACCCATGATGCTCCAGTGTTTGGAGGAAGTTTTATAGCTCCTGGAAAGCTAGAAATTTCACTATATGTAATACTTTGTGAAGGTTTCGTAACTTGTCTTTAATGAAATTGTAGTAACAGTTATTTCTAAACAAGTTGATTTAGAAATATTTAAATATTTAAGGTTTTTTAAAAAAGATAGTTATTTTGAAAATGTACATTTTCAGATGATAAAACTTTTATAGAATTACATTGAAGTTATACTTCATTCTTATATCTGCAAGTCTGATTTTTTTTAACTTTTCATCTTGCTAGGCACATACCATGTTATTTTAGATGAAAGCCATTACAAAGAACTGCTAACACATCATGTTAGTCCGCCACCTGCCAGCTCAAGTTCTGAATGCTCACTTATTCGTATGGGTAAGTGTTTATTTTATGGCTTTTGAAAATACATATTTTTGCTCAACATACACTTTCTGTTTTCATTTGCATAAACTATCATTTTAACATTTAAGAATTTTTTAACTTAAATGTTTTATAATTAGGAAAAATATGCTTATTGGAGCAATTTTGAAAAATATAGAGAAGTAAAAAGAAAATGAAAACTTCCTGTAGTCTTGTCTGTTAGAGAGCACTACTGGCTTTATTTGTTTTTAAGGCTAGGAAGGTATAAAGACATGGTGTTTATAGAGAAATACTTGTGTTAAGAAAT